TGGGATGTCAAAACAGGATAATAAAAGGCCAAACTAGTTGGTCATACTCATAATGTCAACTCAGTCTGTTTCTCTCCTGATGGAAATACATTAGCTTCTGGTAGTAGTGATGACTCTATCCGTTTATGGGATGTCAACACAGGATAATAAAAAGCTAAATTAGATGGTCATACTAATGATGCCAACTCAGTCTGTTTCTCTTCTGATGGAAATACATTAGCTTCTGGTAGTCATGATTAGTCTATCCGTCTATGGGATGTCAAAACATAATAATAAAAAGCCAAATTGGATGGTAATTGTAATTGTATTAACTCAGTCTGTTACTCTCCTGATGGAAATACATTAGCTTCTGGTAGTAGTGATGACTCTATCCGTTTATGGGATGTCAAAACAGGATAATAAAAAGCCAAATTAGATGGTCATAGTGAATGGGTCTAATCAGTCTGTTTCTCTCCTGATGGAAATACATTAGCTTCTGGTAATTATGATAAGTCTATCCGTCTATGGGATGTGAAAAATGGAAAAGAAATTTCGTCTGCTGATAAAAAATATAAAGATATACTTGCTTAATTCAAAGCACCACTAATTTCAAATAATCCTCTGTCAGGTATTTAATTAATTATTACCTTTTAGAATCCAATAATATTACAATTCTAAGAATATCTTAAACACCATTATTTTAAGCATAAGGAGCTTTGATCTTGAAAGGAGAATTTTTAAATTATGAAGGATAAGATTTAAGATCATTATTCAAATCAAAAGGAAGTTTCATTTTGGAAGATATAAAAAACTTCAACTAAAAGTAAAAAGAAGATTGCATTATATAATGAAAATTATTGAATATATTATTTGTTTTCAGGATTTTTTTAATAATTCTATATTTATTTAATCTATTTGTTTTTTAGTTTTAGGTAAAACTTCACTATTTATTAAATTTGAGTTTTTATTGAGTATATGAAAAAGTGAAACATTTTCAATTTTATACAATCATCTAACATTTTATGATATGTTAACTTAATTTATATTTATTTATAAAAGATATTGATATTAATAGTTTTATACTAGTAAAAGATAGATTTAATAACAAAAATTCTATAAAAAAAAAAATGTGTCAAAAATTTACACATTAAAGTTAATACTAGAATTAATTTAAACTAAATTAAAGTAAAATTATAAAAGTGGATGATTTTTCATATTCAAAGTAACTTTTCAATAACTTTTGATTATTATTCTTCAATTAATATTAAAAGAATTAGACATTATAAAAGACTGAAAAGCTCTCAAAAATTAGGATATTTTAGAAATTATTAAGATTTACAGAGATAATTAGATCTTCTCTAACCAGCAACTAAAAATCTTAATTACTTAAAGCTCTAATTAAATTTTTACATATATGAAATAATTACAAATCACTGAGATTATGTGCAAAGCTTTTTTAAAAGTCAGAACTATGTAATCATTGGTAATTTCAAGAGGATTTTCACGAAATAAACTAATATCTAAACCAAAAATAATATCCCTAAAGACTTTTAAAACTAATCAACTAATTCTATTTAACAATTAAATTAATAAATTATCCATAATTTATAATAAATAAAAAGTATGTTTATTGTAAAAAATTGTAGAAAAAGAAGAATAAAAGTAAACCATACATATCCACAATATTAAATCTTAAAGCAAAGACGAAATTCTTCTTCTCTACAAAAATGAGATTAACCCCCTAAATGAATTGGATGATAAATTTTTAGAACTAACTAAATATATAAAAAGTACAAAAGTAGTGTGATATTAATCATTAGTCCCACACATAAATGAGTGTGAATATTTACTTATATTATTAAAATAATTATTCACTAATAAACAATTTAATAATTATATAAATTATAGAATTAAGGTTTATAAAATACAGGATTAAACGTTACATAAATAACATTTATTTAGTTTATAAGAAGAAAAGATTTATAATTGAAAAAGTCTCTCTAAACCTTAAAATTGCCTTTTTTGGACTAACTTAGACTGGTATTTTTAGAACCATCTTAATCACTTCAATTACCATCTAATTTGGCTTTTTATTATCCTGTTTTGACATCCCATAGACAGATAGACTTGCCGCCACCTCCATCCATACTACCTCCACCAGATGCTAATATTTTTCCGTCAGGGGAGAAACAAACTGATGAAATAGGTTCATCATGACTATCAAATTTATGCAGTTCATTTGATTTTCAATTTTTTCCATTTGCAATTAAAAAGTAAAGCACGATTCGAATTTAATCCACTAATATCTACATTATCAAGCTCAGACCCACTTAAGTTACATCTTACAAAGTTCACTTCAATTAAAGAAGTATTTTCAATCCTTATATTATTTAATGATTCGTTCCTCATATCTACATTCAAGTTTAAAGCATTCGATCCACATTGAATAAATTTACCGTCAATACTTGTGAGGAGAACTAAAAACTTGATAAAATCTATGATCCCTTTGTTATCCTTCATCCCTTTTATTAGGTCTGATCTTGCCTTTTCATAAGTCTCAGAAGAGAAGTCCTCTTTATTAAATTTATGATATGATCCAAAATATTCTACAGAATTTCTGTGATTTTTTTTACTTACTTCTTGACATCCTTAAGATTAGCTTATGTGTTGATTAATGATTCAAAAAAGCGTTGATTATTTGTCTTCGAAAGGAATCCTAAGATATCTGAAACTTTCTCTCTTGTTAGTATTTAATGAATCTTCTTATAGAGAGATTCATCTATAGCCTGGAGGTAGGTTAACATTTCAAAAAAGAGAGATATGATTTCTAATTCTTACTTAACTAATTTTTAAATATATTCGATTCCTTAGTTAGACTTCTCAATAAAACCCTTTCTATGTTAGTCCCACCAGCTCTTGGTCTAATCTAACTCCTTCATATAAGAATTCTTCTAAGCATTCCAATCATTTAAAGTTGATCTTTCTACAATGTTTACTAATTTTTCTATATCAGTGTAAGAGGATTCAGCTAGATTGGTGTTTTCATTAATGAGGTTTAAGTATGATTAGTTTTCCTTTTCTATCTAATCGTATACATATTTAATAGATTGTGACAATACTTTCCAAATTTTCTTCATCATTTATTCGGTTTGAGTGAGCAAGGCTTTAAAGGCTGCTCTCTATTTGGTTAACTCAGATGTATCATCAAGCTTAGAGTCTTTCATTTTCTTTAGAGCCATATCTTGAAATTTATTGATTGGAATTGTTTGCTTTTAGATATCCACCTATGGTCATAGAGACATTAGCCACATAGTTTTCTTTAGCATTGACACTTATGTGGAGCTATACATATCGAAGTGATTGGATTTTGTATGTGATAAGTGCAATTCATTATTTTTAATAATGAATTTCTATTACTCTAACTTTAAGTTATATACTGGAAAATCTATAAAAGTATCTTATGCATTTTTGTTAAATAGAAGATAAGACTTTGTTTAGATTTGGAATTGATTGTAATAGATGTAAATGATACTATATTTCAACGTCTGCATTACTTGATTTTTTTATAATATAGAATATTGTTATTTTTATATGACTATTTTAATTTATACAAAAATTGAGTTATGAATAATTCATTATTCACTATATATGTATTATTGACTATTCCAAGTTTAAGATTTATAATATTAAAGGAATATAAATTTGAATGTTAAATTATTTTCGAATTGAATAAAGTTAAATTAGAAAATAATGATTACTAAAAACAAAATCAAAGAAATATGGATGAATTTTATAGTATTTGAATATTTAAAAGCATTATTTATTTGATCCATAAATCACCAGTTAAGAGTCCATAAATATTAGTGAAATTCGATTAAGAAAATATTGTGTCTCATATAGCAAAATATTCATTTTAGCTCGATATCTAAATAATGTTTGAATTAATAGAATTGGAATCCAGAATTTTCAAATTATTTATCTAGATATTATTCTTTTTAGAATTCTCAATAGACATAACAGTAAATATATCTGATTATAAAAGATAGAAGTTTATGATTGCAATTAAAAGTCAATTAGGGATAGAGATTTTCCTAAATTGATTATATGGCATTGTAATTATAATATTCTCCAATTTTAATATCAATTGCCATTTTTAATTTAAAAAGAGTATTAAAAAATCTATTGTTTGATCCTTTAATAAAATGAAATTTAATGTTCTTAAAAGTTATTTTCATAAAATTACTAAGAGTTCATTAATTGTAAAAATTTACAATCGTTGATTCGTTTAACCTTATATAATTATATTAATCTATTAAAGTTTAAATATATTTTATTGTAAAAGTGAATATTTATTTAAGCTTTCTTCTATATAGCATTCAGGTTCATTGCCTTATACGAGTAAATAAAAATTCTACATGTCTTATTCGTTTAAATAATCATCAAGCATCTTAGTTTCAAACAAATTAAGATAATCATAAACATAAAATTGAAAAAATATTTTTAAAAAATTAAATCGTGGTGAAATCCATGAAAAAATCCTCTTCTGTAAAGAGTTGTTGAAAGGAGCCCCTAAAAAAGGTTACCTTTCAGCTTGGAAATGATGGGGAAAGACCCCATTTTCCAGAAATGAGGACAAAGACCTTTGAGATCAAAGGAATGTAAATTTAAGATAATGCTCATTCTTCCTCCATTAACTTATTAAGTTGGAATACTAGGTCTATATCATGGAAGAAATTAAAAAATTTTTTAAATCATAAAATTAACTTATTAATATATTTTTTTATTGAAATAAACCATCATGGGAATCACTACAGAACTATAAATATTATGATATATCAGAAAAGATATTTTACTCTATTATATATTTATGATAACATTATTTATTTGATGTGCAAACAGTTATTGTTTAGGTTAAAAAATCAAAATAATATTGAGTTATCTTATTTTTTAGGTTTTCATAACATTTTCTTGGTATATCTTAAATTTTCATTAGCAAAAATATAATATGAATTAATATTTGATATTCCTACCAATTAAATTAGAAGGACATTTAAGTCACGTTCCATTTGTATTTCTACTTTTGGGAAATCAAAAATCTGTTTCCTAGCATTGAATGTATGTAATTTATACATTTATTATTTCACAGTTATTACAATTTTCTTCAAAAAATTTAATACATTTTTATTCAAAGAGGATATATGATAATTAGAAAATGTACAAATAGCCTTTAAATCAGTTTATGAATTAGATTGTATATAATCTTCAAATGATTTATCATTATTAAAATAAATGACTGCTTTATAAAATGGTTTTATGTTCCACTTCTAATAATCCTTAAAAGCTATTTTATTATATACAAGTTTTGCAATTATTGAAATATAATTAAAATAGTCCATGGTAATAATCTAGATTAATATCCATCATCAAATTTCATACATATGATTCATTTATAATAAAAGATGAATACATTATTAGCAATTATTAAGAGATGAACAAGAAGTTACTTATACGGCATCATTATTTTTCAGGCTAATTCTACACGATTATTTTAAAGTAGAATCTAAAAAAACTGCAAATCCACAATTATTATTATTTAATTTTAATTTACATTGTTAATTACATTGGTTATAATTTTAATTTTGATTACATAGTGCACATCTAAAATTAACTCAATTTGAATTAAAATTGTATATATGGAAATTAATATCTAATTTTATATAATATTATTCTGAAATAATAACATATTAGAAACAATATCTATAATTTTCAATATTATTTTCTATAAAATTTCTTCCATCTATTGATAAATAATATTGTAAAGGATCTCCCATACAAAAGTTGCAGTATCCTTTAGAGTCACAACTATCGCAATTTATACCACAGGATACGCATTCATTGTTTTATAGTATTTAATTATCTTCGCAATGACTGCACCAGAAAAAATCTTTGTGTGTAAAGCATCTTTTGCAATTAGGTCATTTCAAACATTAATTTTCTTTACCAAGATAGTTTCATCATAACTTATTCCACATGAATCTGAATTTTCACAAAAAAAAATCCTTAATACAAGGTTTAAATTAATCAACATTGAAATAATACCCTTCTCTACATTATTAATATCCTATGCATCAATTACATAATTTTATTGCATATGTTGCATTATCTTAGATTTTCATTTCATAATAACTTAGATGTTTAGTATCTCTTTAACTACCTAATATGAATATTTATAATTAGAGTAATATTTTATGCATCCATAATATAAGTTAATGATTATCCAAAAGTAAGAGGTTATGTATACCAGTCGAAACAACTTATATTAATTTCATATATGAACTAACTAAACTCTGGACTAATATAAATTACAATATCATTACCATTAAATACATTAACTTAATAATAACAAATATCCAAATTTGCATTCTACATTTAACATATCACTAAGATAACCTTAAAAATGATTTTGCCTAATTATTCCCTCCAATAAAAATAAAGTATGTTACTCCTGTAAAGTGTTTAATTTTTTTATTCCAAACATATATTTTGTATTAAATAATAGAAGGTAAATATAGAGGAAACAATGGTTAAACATTATTATTTAAAGTTCTAATTTCATATTGATATTAATGCCAAATAACAATCACCATTTTCTGAAATTTTGTCATCATCCTCTGTATTACATCTTGTTTAACTGGAAAATATAAATATATGTTGAAATTTCAAATAAATTTTCTCCAGGAATACTACTCTGAAAATATTTTAATTAGACATCTCAATCACCAATATATATATCATCATTATAATTATAATTAATAATTATCCTGAATATAATGTTTTCTAACATATTTATATTTTGCAAATCTAATTTAATCCATCCTTAGATTAAAGATATTGTTTTATTAAGTGATGAAGTTGTGATCCTTCTAAAATCTTATCCATTCATTTTCTAATTTTTTTCACTCACTCTATATTCTTCAATTTAGCAAAGTATCATAATTCATAAATTCATCTACGCATTAATCTAAATCAAATAATATGTTCTAATTATCTGACGTAAACAAATTCTACATCATTCCAAAAAACTAACTTAATTAAACTAGAACTCCATTTAGATTCATTTAGATTTTAATATGCATATATTCAACCAATATTGTGTCTAATTTCACCTATAAATGTAGGCACATCATGTGTTAAATATGTTTTTAATGGTTCCATGCTATTGTAGAGCCCAAATGTAGTTTTTTAAGATATTTAATCATAGTAAGCATAAACCAGAATCCATAATCCCTCAATTAGTGAACTGCTTATGTTAACATTTGATATTTATGTAAAGTAATAGTAAATATTATTTTGAAAGTTTTATTCAAAACCTAATCAATTACGATAGAGAAAACCAAAATCTAAATAGCATTCTCTTTTATTTCATTGAATAAATAAACTAACCACCTTCAGATATGATTGATCTATTTATAATTACATTTATTTACTACTCTTTGTTTCCTAAAAAAATAAAAAAGATTATGATACTTAAGTCTAAAATAGCTGCACAAGGTTGATACTCTATCCGAACACCATAATCTATGTTTTATTGACATAATATGGCAAATCTAAGTCAATTAAAATATTTGGCTAGTTGGGATGTAATTTAGGGCCTTTAGACATAAATGCGCATTAACAATTAATTTCTCTATAATAAGTTTGTTGAGTACAGTAAGAACAAAAGAAATGATAAAATTTCAAATATAAATTGGAACATTGAACAAAAGAATTATAATAATTAAAGATCAAATATAATATTGTCACTTCAAATTTCTAATAAATTAATTTTGCCTTGAGTATTAATCTAAGCACATAGACCAAAGTTCAAAAACAAGAAAGTAATAATAATATCAAATCATGATTTATGAAATGCTTAATTATTATTTCAAAATAGTTTTTGATTTAATAATAAAAAACTTATAACTTAGGTAGGTAAATCCTCTCTTTAATTTTCTAAGTTAAAATAAAATTTATAGAGTAGTTAAACTTAAAATGCAAGCATAGTTAAAAAGGTATAATTAATCACATTTATTAATATTCCTAGTTTAGATTATATAAATTGTTAAATTATAGAAGATGCTTAATCAACTAACCAAGAACATTTATATTAAAATAATTTATCAATTTTTGTTATAAAAAGTAATCAATCTTTGAATTTCCAAAAAACAGAGATTTTAATATATATATTTGGAGAATATAGTAATATATGAGAAATAACAAAATAAATTTATATTAAAATACAAATTTAAATATGATACTCATCATTCTTGCTAGTTTTACTCTATTGAGTGTATGCAAACTTTGTTCCATATTTCCTTACGATTATACGAAAATTGTTGCAAAAGGAAAATGAAAAGATAGTTAAGGATTTAGGAGATTACTTCAGCTAAACTGAATATAAAAATGTAGAAATATTAAGAGATGAAAATAATAAACCATCTTTATTGAAACCAATATAACTAATAAATATAATGGAAATGCTTCAAATTGTAAAAATTGCTTTTGATATTTTATTAATCAAGAAGATAATATCGTATTATGTATAAACTTCTTCAGAATTTGAATGGCTTAATAAATATATTAATTATAAATAAATAAATAAAAAATAAACAGGACTAGATAAGGAAGTTACCAAACTTTAACTCTAATAAAATTATTGGAATATCAATTAAGTAAAATGTTAATTATTATTTATTTTGGATGCAAAACACCTATTAATAGATTGTTATTAAATCGATACTGGAAACTTAAATAATCAATTTTATTTAATCAATTAAGATTAAGAAGAAATAATGATGATAGAAAATATTTATCCTTTGTTAGCAGATTAAAGAGATAAATACTTAGCACAAATAATTATATTTATAGAATTACAACTTACTCAACCGATAATCCATCATATATTGAAGAATTAATCTTAAATTATGTAACATTCCGTGAATACTCTTTTGAAATAGTTGAAGTAATAGTAGGACCATAAGATCAAATCCTTATTTTGGATTCAATAGGTAATCTATTTTCAAAGATGTATCTTATCGATAAAAACAGTTGGAATTTTTCATTTTTAGTAATGAGGTTGGGTAATTCAATATCATATGATTATTTCTTTAAAAATAAAAGGATGACAGTATTACAACGTTTTAAAATTATTTAATGGGATATTTATTAAAGAATATCACTCAATTGAAAAATTCTCATCCTCAAAAATACATATTACTAACAATTTTTTATTTTTAGTTTCGTCAAATAAAATAATTTCATTTCTTTTAGACAAACCCACATTTTTAAGAACAGGTGATTTCATTAAATTGTTAACTGATTATCCACGAAATTTTCTTAGCATCTAGTAATATACATATAAAACATTATTTAAGTGAATCAGAATATAAAATTAAATATTTAAATAATCAACCTGAATTAAAAAGAAAAGCTATATTAAATCATAACTAATGTTAAGTGACAATTAAATACTAGACATTAGCTCTTGATTCAAAAGAACTTATTTTGGTTTCTAAAGGAAATATTATTGAAACTCCTTTTCTTTCAGATACTATTTATTTTCAATATACTTTGTCAAATAATATTGACAAATTAGTTGATAGTCCCACATATTCAATATCCTTTTAAAAAATAGATAATAGTAATCTATAATAAGTAGTAATTTAAGTTATATAGGACTTACTGGAGACTAGAAAACAGTATATGAAAATTTAAGTTTGAAAAACCTAATATTTACATAAACTATTTCAATGATTAATTTTAAGGATAATAACTACAGAATCAAGAAAAATTATTAAAGATTTATAGGTGTTAAATATGCATCGTTTAAGCTTGTACTTAAAGTTATGAAACATTATTAACATTTCAAATAACCTTTGAAAACACAGCTACATTTGTTGAATCTCTTCTCGTTTCAATTAGTATTTTATTAAAAGTTAGAATTTTTGGATATGAAATGTTAAAAAAAATTATTACAAACTATTCAATTTGATTTTATATAATATGAAGATTGAGCTCTTAAATTTATAACTTTATTGGACAAGAAAAATTATTTTATTATTAATTCTTCTAAATGGAATACTTTAATGAAACTATCACACTAACTGATCAAGATCCAATTGATGAAATTGATAATCTTTATACAAACAATAATATTTTGTAGCATATTCTAAGAAAAAGAAAATAATTGGAGTTTATGAGTTTAAAAATTTTATCTTACTACAGTCAATAACTTTTGATTAAATGAAGTAATTTGGTCTATCCGATTGGAATCCTTAAAGATTATTTTGTAACAATTATAAAGGAATCCTATTTCTAATTAATGGCCAACAATAAAATAAAGTTTTTATATTGACTTTGAATTTTTATTATTTTACTTCAGATTATGTTTTGAAAATTAATTTATCAAAAGACATTATAATAATTATAATTCTTGAAAACAGATTTGATATATAATGAGAAATACATATTATATATAAAGTTAAAAGAATTTCAATATAATATTGATGACAGTAACAATATCTATTTAGTTTTCTATTTTGTATAATATATTCATTGACTTCGATTCTTTCATTTTCTAATTTTTTTTTTAATAAATTTTTTTAATGAGAAAACAATAATTTAACACTTCAATTTACTATAAAAATACTTTTGATATAAACTTGTACATTTGTTGAAAGATACGTTATTTTTAATAATATAAAAATGGAATTATAAGTTTTGATGACTTCAATATGAAGGAAATTACATAT